TATCTACTAAACTTCAGGGATAGTTTTGTTACATAGCAATAAACAACTGGGGCAGAATTCTAGGGACTGATCATTCTTTCCGAACAAAGCCCTCTTTGGAGCCTTCAGCCCTTTGCACAATATCATTCATACCTCGGGGAACAAGCAGATGGTCCTCATCCTCTTTAGCATGCCACTGTTTTTTACATGTACATTCCCCCTCAATTTTAAAAACCATAAAAATTCCTGGAAATTATCGAATGGGAAATGGAACCAGCTGATTCTCCTCATTACCTTGTGAACAATACTCTGCCTCTGCTGTCGCTGAGAATTCCATGTAGGAGCTTTCTCTGTTTCTCCCAAGTTTTAGCTCACTCAGGCAGGCCCACTGTTCAGTGGTGGCAAGGTGGTGACAGATGCTAAGGTGCCGTGAGATCCCGGTTCGTCTTGGTGTGGAGTCCACTTCATGCACAAGTCTAGGTTGCTTTTGTGACTTTTTTTTTCTGTAATCTTTGGGAAGTGACTTTTTTTGTTGTTCTTTGTGGGGAGTGATAAAAACTGAACTGCTTATGCAAGCAGCAACACGGGACTCCCAGCCCAAAGCTTCTATTGCTCTTTTCTTCTCTTCTCCCACCCACAAAAAATAATTCACATAAAAACGGTTCTCTGGCCAGGGCTTGTCCCCTCCTCAGCAGGGGCTTTCTTTTTTGTTGACTTTAGAACCAATTTGGAGTTCTGTGTCCAGATTTTGGGGTGCATAGATCCAGCTTCCTTTGGAAACTTTGCTTAAATCCCAGCATATTTGGAAGCTCTCGGTCTTCTCCTCCCACAGCCTAATAATTCCAGAACGGTTGGATTGGAACAACCCCGGGGCTTAGGGGGAAGCAGCTGCATTTCTGAACTCATTTGGGTGAATTTAACCCATGTGTTCATGCCTGGGATGTGAGAAGACAAATCGGAGGGGTGCATTTGCCTCTGAATCTAGAGCTCACTAGCCTTGTGACTGGCTCCAGGCATATTAAATGTCATGAAGCCTCTGGTTCTTTGTCTTTAAAATGCGTTTTAGAAATAATATCCCTAAAGCACCAGGCAAAGCATGGAGCACATCATGGGTCCCCAGGAATCTGCAACTGTCATGGTGAGGGTGATGATAAGTTTGGAGGAGCCTGGCTTCTCAGAGAGGTGATGGGGTGAATTTAGTGAGGAAAGCCTCAGCTGCATGTTTCACAAAAGCCAGATGCTCCCTAAATTCTTTCCCAGTGGTGCATGAGAAGAACCTTATAAAAAATTATCCACATGCAAAGAAAAGTGAGGAGGCGCCACGACTCTCCTGCTTTCCTTATTGGAACCAAAATTTGAGTCTTTGCAGAGAGCAAAGGTGAAAGCATTAATTTTCCTTTCCATTTTGAAGCAGAACTCCTTGGAGGCCTGGAACTATAAATGTAAGAGTATAATTATTCTTTCCCCAAGCCTCGTGTAAAATAGGAATAACACTGATTGGTTTAAATTAAAAAGAAAGTGAAGGTTCTAGGCCTGAAGTCGGGGGAGGTGTGCGGGCTTAGGAGTCTTGATCTGGGTTTGAGTTCAGACCCCACCCCACTCCCTAGTTCTGTGCAGTTTGGAATAAGTCTGTACCTCAGTTTCCTTACCTGTAAAATGGGGATAGTACCTATTATTTGTGGGACATACTGAGCCTGAGATCATGCATGCAAAATGCCTATTGTGGTGCCTGGCATGTAGTGGGTACACCAACAGTGGCATAAATCCCATAAACCAAGGGCTCTAGCTCTGTTCTGGTGTCGTGAGCAAGAGCTGGGGAGGAGGCAGTGGGCTTCCCTGCATGTGCCAGGACACTCAACTGTTAAGCTGGTGGTGTCTGCTGCAGGCTCAGTCTGAGAGAGGGGTTGGCTAGGCCACAGGGGAGACTCAAAGGTGAGACCAGAGTGAGCTTTGAGGACCTCCCAAATGGGATGTGGGGGTGGCACTTCCAGGCCAGCTGCATGAAATGTATCCTTCTCCTTGTCTGGGTGACTCAGGCAGGGACTTGGACAGAATCCCCCTGATGGAGGTGACCCAGGGTGGTCTTCTTTATCTGGTGCCCCTCCCTGCAGGTTGAACATCCGCAGAAGAATAGGATTCTCTTGACGAAAGAGCTCACTTGCTCACAGCTTTCCCCCTGAGCACCGGACACCAGTGACCCTCTCAGACAATGATGCTACTCAAGTGGAAGCCATTTATTTAAAACTTTTATTAATGCTTCAAGAAAAATAATGCAATGTGACAACGTACAAGCCCTGTCGCGTAAACCCATAACAGAAACAGATACTATGACTTAGCAAGCTCACGTGGTGCCAATTCTGAGATCGGATGGGGTTGTTCTTCCTAAGGAAGTGGCCACTGGAAGCATTGTTTTTCCATGCTATTTCCGCAAAGACTTTTACTTGGTTCGAGTTTAAATTTCTCCCTTTCTGTGTGTATGACTGTAGCTCTGGCCTGGAGTTTTCTATCTATTTAGTTTTAGGTGTCAGCATTTTACTACAGTTGGTCCTCTTACTTGGGAATAATAGGGCTATTTATTGATACAAAGGAGAGGTGTTCAGACCAGCTTGTTAAGATGCAGAACTCAAAATAAACATCAAATCTTTATTTGGAGATGCACATCCTTCCTCAAAGGAAGGCTCATGAGTCAATTTGTAAGCAATATACAGCCCAAGTAGAGGGTGTATTTTTAATGACGACTTTGCTTACATTTTAGTTTGTGCAAATGTCTCAACCAATGCTTACAGGAATTTGGACCTCCCTCGGTTTTGAGCAGAAGACCCTGAGCAATCAGTACTATTGTATGCTTCCAATCTCATGAGGGACAGGATTGAAATGCTATCTACCTGACTTCTGAGAAGAAAACAAGCCGGTGAATTTTGTCAAAGGCCTTCTCTGCATCAATTGAGATAATCATGTGATTTTTGCCTTTGGTGCCATGTGTGTACCTATGCAACAATCTTGTATGTTCTTCACATGTACCCCCAAACCTAAAATGCAATAAAATAAATTAAAAAAAAAAAGAAAACAAACCAGTGGCATGAAAAATATACAACAGAGATCAGTAAATGGGTTCGAATGAACATAGTAAGCAATTTTATGCCTTAGGATCACAAGGTCAAGAGATTGAGAGATAATAAATACAAACGACAAATGTTTAAAATAGAAGCAACAACTGGGACATCAGTAGGTGAACACATAAAACATTTGCACTGAGGAAAATGGAAAAGTGATGCCTTTCACACATCCAGTCCAGGAGCTGGCGGACAAATGAACAGCTGACTCAGCAACGCGGGAGAATGTTATTGCTTTAGCTTTTGAGTGATGTTAGTAAAACAGTCAACGTGCCTGCCTGCCGAGGTGGCTCACTGCAGGAGACAGCCACGGTTTACACTTGTTCCCATGGCAGAGCCTGACACACCAGTCCTCCTCCCACCAAAGGCGGAGCTGGATTCAGTGCACCAGCTCTTCTGTTCTCTTCTCTGCAGCCCCAGATCTTGCTGGGTCCCGAGGGACCAGGTGGTGGGGGCTGAGGGCGGGGTTTCCTCCCCTCCCCCAACTGATGATTTCCCCACTTCCTCACTTCATGGACCATGAAAGACTGGGATTGGGTTTGGGACATAAAAATACTAGCTGTGTGTTGGTTGAACGCATTCCCCGGGAACTAGTCATTTTACAGCAGATACACTTAGCTTCTTGGTGTCTGGCCTCAGGTTGCTTTGAGGAAAAGGGAAAAGCTAATGAGTTGACAAATGATTCATGTGTTTTTTGGCCCACTCACTAGAACAGAGATCAGCAAATTGCGTCCTGTGAGTGAAATTCAGCTGGGGGCCTGTTCAATAAATCTTCCTGGAAGGGAGCCAAGCCCTCTTGTTTGTGTGTTGTCTATGGCTGCTTTTGTCCTAGGATGGCAGAGTTGAGTAGTTTCGACAGACACCTTATGGCCCGCCAAGCTGAAAATACTGGATTCATTATCTGGACCGTTATAGACAATGCTTGCAGACCCCTGCTCCAGAAGGGCACAGCCCAGGATACCCAGCCACTCCCTACAATATCAGCTTCTGCTTGAGAAAGGATAAGCTTTAATCTGATAGCCTATTAGGAAGAAAAGACCTACCTAGGTGATTTTTTTTTTGTTTTGTTTTTGAGACAGAGTCTCACTCTGTCACCAGGCTGGAGTGCAGTGGCGCGATCTCAGCTCACTGCAACATCTGCCTTTGGGGTTCAAGTAATTCTCCTTCCTCAGCCTCCTGAGTAGGTGGGATTACAGGTGCCCGCCACCATGCCCAGCTAATTTTTTGTATTTTTAATAGAGACGGGATTTCACCGTATTGGCTAGGATGGTCTCAATCTCTTGACCTGGTGCTCCGCCTGCCTCAGCCTCCCAAAGTGCTGGGATTACAGGCAATGATGCAAGAAACCTAGTACTGAGACTTTTAATGAGTATCCTCACCCTCCCTTCCTCATATTTTCAGTTCTGTCTCTTCACTCTGCCTTTCTTTTGTCCCACTGGACTCCTCTCCTTGTTGCTAAATTTCCAATTAGGATCTAGAAAACCCTGTCCCTTAGAGATTTTCAGCAGTCTCCTCGATTTTATGTAAAAGGTCAGCATTTCCTGATGGGAATTACTAAGCAGCCTTCATTCTCTTCTTTCCTTTCCCATCCTCTCAGATGGAGAAGCCAGGTTTCCAGCTGGGCCTCCTGGCGTTGCCAGGACGCAGCTTTACCAATCTTGGCTGAGGGTCAAGATGAGATAACAAAATCCTAAGGGAAATTTGTCAAATGTACTCCACATGTGTGCATTTTTCTCTGGGCGTAAGGTTTCCCCCAAGTGGGCAGGAGTCCATGTCAGGCAGTCAGATGTATTGCTATGTCGCTGTTTGATAGCTTTTAAAATAGAACTTAAAAAAAAAAAATCAGCCTCAAAGGATAGGCTGGTTTTTTAAAAATCCCCTTTGAGCTGGTTTTAATGACCCAATTGCTTTGTTTGAAAGCCATTTATTTAGATGTCAGATATGTAGATATAACTGGACAAATAAAAAGTGAAATGGAGATTTGAAGCAGTGGTAAAAATATAAACTCATAGGGGCCACTCCCTTGGACAGTGTGCCCCCGCCCCTAGCCCAGACAGAACAATGGCTCAGAAATTACACAGAGAAATGACACGCCTCCCACCCCTCCCCCTGCCCCCACCAAGAGCTCTGAACTGCAAGGTCCCATGCAAGAAACTTAATTTCAGTTTGGCACCAAGCACCCCTGCGGCCCCTGCCTCCTCTCCACCCTTGTCTTGCATTCTAAGCGATATTTACTTTTACATTCACTCCTGTCCTGGAATCCAGCCACCCTGACTTCCGTGGAGACAGCACCAGAGGCTGCTGCACCACAAGCTTTGGGGCGGGGCCCAGCACCCACTGTGTGGTCCAGCCCTGGGGGTCCTGCCTTACCCTGCCCCTCCCGGTTCACCTCCCCCACTACAGAGCAGCCACCACCCACTTGCTCCACAGATGGAAAGAAGACAAAGATACAAGGATAACTCGGGCGCGCTCCCTTGAGTATGTGTAAGTGCAGAATTCACCAGGCACCCCCGAGACCCCGCGGCCCCAGGGGTCTCCATCTCACCTGTCCGTTCCGAGAACACACACCTCCATGAAGCCTACAGTCCCCACAGAATCCTGCATGTGACATCCCCCCTCTCTAATGGTAAATGTTTTGGAATGTCCATAGGTAAGAAAATGGACGGCGCAGAGGAAAGATTTCGTCGCCAGGCGTTTCGTTTCACCTCCGGATATCAGAATACTCTGACTGTTCATCCTCCCACTCGCTGCTTCCAGAAGGTCCCTGGGCCCCAAGGTCCCCGACTCTACCCCGAGCATGGGGGTTTGGGTGGCTCTTGCTACCTCGCTCGCCCTTGGCACCTCTGCCGGTCTCCCTACTGCTGGGTTCTGGGAGATGATGTCCTGCTTCCCCGTGGTGGGCCCTGGAGAGCTTGGCTGTGTCCACCTGGGGCTGGCGTTCGGGGGGCTCCGTGGGGCGCCTCTGGATGGCGGAGGTGCAGAAACTCAAGATGGAGCACAGGCTTCCCCAGTTGTGCTCACACTGAGCTTGCACGCTGTGGGTGATGGCCTCCTTCACCTCCTCCCCACAGGTCAGCAGCAAGTTCACGAGGTCCAGGTAGGGTCTAAAGATCGAAAGCAAAGAGAGAGAGAGACTGGGCATGGAGCAAGTCCCGAACGCACCACAGAAGGCAGAGGTGATGCCGGGAAAGAGGCATGGTCAGTGCTTGGCTTGGGTTTGGTGGAAGAGCTCTCTCAAATGACCAAGCCTTTTCTCACTTTCTATAAAGTCCTGGGTGGCCAGTGTTCCAGGCTCATAGGTGCATAGGGCAAGAGCTTAGGGCTTAGGATGAGAGCTTAGGACCCTAAAAGGAAGAGTCTCTGGGGAAGGTCAGGACTCTAGGCGGCACTATGAACAATGAGGAGGGAAGGAGAGCTCTGGTAGGTTTAGGCTACACTAACTAGGTGAGTTTCAATTAGAGTGGAGATGGCTCTGGGGTCCAGTGGACTCATAATTAGGCAAATGGTGCAGGACCTTACATAGACTCTCAAACAGGGGATTTTTTTGGTAGGGAAGGGGATGCCAGGAAGGTTTAGGGCCATATGCCTTCTATAAGAAGCTCCCAAGAAACCATTTTCCCCATGTCTGTGTTTGCCCGGGGTTTAGGCTCACGATGAAGACAGGTGTTTTTGGAAGTTATTGGATGCATTTCCTCTGCATCTGGAGGAGTCTGGAAGAGCTGAAGTGGGAGGTAGGAAGACCACCTTCCTGGGACGTCATTGCCCATACATTCCCTCTCTCAGTAGTAGAGGCTGGGGAGTGGGTGTGGCCATCTAGGCATCTTTATTCTTTCAGTCTGAGCTTCCCTGGATTTGGAGGTGAAGGCTGGTGGTCAGGGCCCCCTGTGTTTGTGCGACGAACACGCCTAGTTCTGGAGGGCAGAGCCAGTTGCTTAGGCCATTCTGGTTGTCTTAGGTTGTTCTTTAGGGAAACTGCTGGAAGAAATGATTCTGGGGGTGGACAAGGTGTGCAGAAGGCAGGAGCAGTGTGCATCTGCTTTTTATATTTATAGGCCCATCTGGTAAGGAGTGTCCACAGCAACGGGCCACTCATTGAGCTTTTTTTTTTTTAACCTCTCACTGGTCTTTAAACCGCCCGCCACTAAAGGGGGTATAGAATGAATGTTTCATGTGGCTAACCAGCATTCCTAGTCAGTCCTCACTGGCAAAGTTTCTGATCTATCTGACCACGAGCTTTGCAGCTCTGGGCCATCACCCTGAGCAGGGAAGTCACCCTGGAATGTGAGGTCATTCATAACAAGGAGCAACCTGATTTGTCCTTAAGCCTGAACCACCAGGGAGGCTGTGTTACAGCCCATAACCCTTTCTTTGCAAGTTGGCAGTTGTTGCTATGTGGATAGAACAGATTGTGTTTTGAGATGCGTGCAGTTGTTTACTGCAGTTTTATTACTTAGTCCTCAAGTTGAAATTGACTGAACTGTCCTCACTTCATGGATGCAAAAAAAAAAAAAAAAAAAAAGAGAGGGGAGAAGGTGGCTTTTGGAAGCTTCTGGGCTTCAGGGCCCAGGGCTCGGCTGAGAGCAGAGCAGAGAGGAGGAATGTTCTGGCTGATAGAGATCAAGCTGCTTTTCAGGGCCTGCTTGATGACTTTGGAGTCAGCAAGTCTGTGCATGGCGGCTGAGCAAAGGGCTTTCAGCCCTCTAAGACAGGCCCCTGACAGCGCAAGACAACCTTACACGGTCTCCTTGGGCTGTCTGGAGTTGAGAACGCAGGAGGCAAATGCTCCACGCTTGTTTCCTTTTATTTTGTGAAAACTAGAACCTGCCTCTGGAGCTCGAGTTCACTGAGTGTGTCTGCTAAAGCGGCGGCAGGATTTTAGCACCTGACTGTGCCTGCCGCAGCACCAGGGCTAGGTGAGCACACTGCAGGGCTGAGTATCTGTCTTTCTGAGACACTCACTGGATTGGATGCTGTCTTCAAGCTCCTTTCCCCAGAGTAAGGGGAAAGCTGTCTTGGGAATATACAGATGGCCTCTTTTTTGCCTCCTCGGCCAGGGAGTTCTGTCTGCCAGATGAGCCCTCAGAAGCCCAAGGCCGATCTGGATCCGAGAAGGCTGGTCGAGCCCGCGCTCTCCTCTGCCCTTGGCCTTTTCTCAGGAGGAGGAAGCTGTGAACTGCGGGGAGGGGTGTGTGTGCCGAACCAAGTTCATCTAAGCCGTGTTCTGAGCTGGCACGGTGCCTTCTCAGGCTGCAAGCTCAGCCCGTGTCTAATGACAAAGTCTAGCTCGTTCAACTGGGTGTCAGCAAGGCTAAAGGATTTAAAAAAATACTTGGAGGGGGGTGTGCCTGGAGGCTGCCAGCACCCATCGACACAGCGAGTGGGGGCCGGGGGCTGAGGCAGGCTGGCTGCAGCTAGGGGGAAACAGATGCTGTGCAGAAAGTGGGGCAGGCGGGAAGGGGCGAGGGGAGTGGGGAGGAAGAGCTTGAAAAGAGCAGTATTAACTGGGGGTGAGTGTTCTGGTGTGGGGGGGGTTGAGTTGAAGAATGGGGGGGGTGCAGATTCTGGGGTGACTGTGATTTCCTCTTCTCTGAAATGAAAAGCAAGTTCTGGAGGTTCTCTCCCTTTTTTTTTTTAACCAATGCCACACATTCGGAAGTGGCCTTCTTGATATTTGGGGACCAATAGGATATTTTAAATCAGTTAAGATGGTTGGAGGAAAAAAACAACTGAAAAACAGGCAGTTAAGCCAGACGTACAAGCTGATGCACAGCCACGTCATGGCTTCAGAAGGAAAGGTAATAGGGGTTTTTGGGAAGCTGGAGTGAGGGGAGACCCCTGTCTAGAGATGCTGACTTAGCGGGAAGCGAGAGGACCATCATGTGACCAGGCTTCTTACTCCAGAGCAGGCTGGGGAGGGGGTCATGGGCTCATTCTGAATGGTGTGAGAAGCCCATGGCCCGAAGGGCCATATTCCCAAGAAAGAGACACTAGAACTCACAGGGCTTTACCTCCTTCTTAAATTAAGGGGAGGGGGTGGGACTTCAAACCTTCAGTTTTCCCAAAGAATACTCTTCTCCAAGAAAGATAGTCTTCCTGCGCGCCAGGCATGCATTATAGCCTGATAAACTAGGAATGGGCCCCATCACCCATCCAGTCCTGAGGCCAGCAGACTCTCTCTAATGGGTGACAGGCCTGGAGGCGAGTGAAGCTCATGGCGTTTCCTAGCCATGGGGCACTTACCTCTTCCACAGGCACCTGAAGGAAGGGAATTCTAGAGTGTTCTCCTTGTGTAATGGGGATATATTTGATAAAAGGACAAGAAGCCCACCACATGTGGGGAGCTGTGAGCCCTTTCAGGTCTAGCAGGGAGGGGATAGGCCAGGAGCAGCTTTGAAGTCTACTCCTGACAACTGGCTTCAGTCATGTATACCAGCAATTCCAAAGCTTAAAAGCAGGAATCAAACCTCAGTGCCAGTTCTCTAATCTCTTAGCTTCACTTTCCTCCTTGTGGGCATAGTGATTTCTGTCTGGTAGCATCTTTAGGAAAGATCAGTGAGATAACCCATGTAAATGCCCTGGCCAAGGGCCTAGCACATTAGAAAACATGACAGCTATCATTGTGGTTGGTGATGCTGTGGCTGCCATTGCTCCTTTACAAATATTTGAAGAATAAAAAATATTTTATAAGGTATTAGCCTAATTCAAGGAAAATGCAACATTATTTTGCTTTTGGCAAGAGCTTCCTGCAGTTTTGCCTGCACCAGGAGTGTTGCAAGATGCCTATGACCTTATAACCAAGTGGAGAGGGACAGGAGGTGGTTGCTGTCCTCTGTCATCTAAATGGCGTTGGTGTTGGTAGGGACATAGCTGGAAGAAGGTTGTGACACAGACTGAGGAGCAAGAGTTCATACAATTATACTGATTTGGCTCAATGAGTCACCATGGAGTGCCATTAAACTGGTAATGACTTATACTGAACTGGCCTGGTGAGTGGCTTTCTGCTCTGTGTCGCTGAGGAAAGAACCATCGTCAATATTTAAAAAAAAAAAAATCTTCAGGGATGCCTGGCCTTGTCTCATGTTAGAAACAAGTGTTTACCAATGTGCTTTACGGTGCTGTAAAATTTAGGATCCTCTAGCTGGGATGTTTTATAAGGAATGGGATGCATCCTGAATTTGTCATTGAATTTCAAGTCTTCAAATAAGTAAGTTCACATTTCCTTGATTTGGCATAAAAGTATTTAGCTGATTAACGTTTTTGGCATTTGTTTTGCATATTCTCTGGGAGGGCACCGATGTGTTAAGAGAAGGTGAACCAAACTTTCTATGGGAAAGGAAAGTTAAGGAGGCAGGAAAAGCATCAATAGCTCTACTTTTGGCATTTAAGAGTATAGGTTCTGGGGCCAGACTGCCTGGGTCCCAAGCCTGGCTTTGCCTGTCGCTAGCCTTAGTGAGTCTCAGTTTCCTCATCTGTCAAATGGAGGTGACAAGGGCTGTGTTGAGGATCAAGTGAAAAAGTCACAAGGAGCTCTTAGCCCAGGGCCTGGCACTTAGCAAATAATCAACAAATGTTATTAGCAATCTGCTGTCTGTAAGGACACCTCTCCAGCTACTCAAAATAGTCAGAGAATAGTGGGTTCTTGGCTAAGGGGAAGATGAAGAGCATTTTTGAATTGACACATTTCACGCTTAGTAAAATGATTTCCCATTTCTGTTGCTTGTGATTTTGAGACTGATGAGAGCATTCTCTTTTTCTGAAAGCCTGCAGGAAAGGAGCCTTCTAGGAGAGTCAGTGTAGCTTTCTGAAGTAAATGGAAGCCTTCTCCATTTGTCAGGCATTCAGCCTCTAGAAGCAACGCGGCTCTCCTCCCATAAACATTGCTGACCTTGTTGGGCAGCCCCTCCACCCCAGGCCCTCTGCGGGGCAGTACTTACTCCTGCAGCAGCATGTCCTTGAAATGGATCATCTCCACTATCACCTGGGTGTTCTCCTGGGCCACCGTGCACAGGTCGTGCTTGAGGTAGCATTCCCGCTGCAACTGCAACACCATTTCCCGGATGGCTGGGCACTTCCGGCTTATGCAGCCGAACCTGTGCCGCAGAGCGTGGGCCTTACATTTCAAGACGTCTTTGATGAATGACTTGCCCTGAGAACACACAGACCGGGGAAGGGAGAGAGGGGCAGAGAGCAGGAGTCCTCGTTACATGCTTGGACATTTAAGCCCTTTTTGAGCTTACACAGGATATTTCTGAGATCGAAACCGCAGGGCCCCACCTGAGATGGACGTCCTCCCAGTTGACAGGCAATGCCACATCAGGAGGCATGTCCAGAGTGACAGGACAGCTCCAGCACTTGGCAGCAAGGGATGTTCATTCTGTAGACTAACACCTCTCCCTCCTTCCTCCCCTGCTACTCTGTGAGTTTCCCTCCAACTGGGCTTCCATGGGTATAAGTAGCCCCATGTTGGTTCAGTGTCAACTTTTCTGGAACACAAAGGGAATTTGGCCAGATACAAATTCATAAATCCTTCACGGTTCTCGGAGAGCAGTTTTCCCTAAGAGGAAGGTGCCTGCTTGTCCAAATCACACTTTTCCTTTATCCCTTGATTCCAGGAGCAACACCAAGATTGAGTGCTGATTGTGCCTCCCTTTCTGCCTTAGCTCCTTCCTCGGACCCAAATCCATACCCTGTCTCCTCCCACCCTACCAGGAAGAGTGTTCTTTTCCTTTTTGAAAATGACTCTACTCCTTTAAACTGTTCGGATTATTGCCTCTAAAAGGCTGGCCTGGCACCCTGCCTGGCAGCATCTGGAGTCTGAACTGCCGCACTGGGGGCCCCTCCCCCATGCTCCCTGCCTCCGAGTGGCGAAGGCAGCCAGGCATACATCTGGCCTGCATTTCTCTTTCCTGGCAACCCCGTTTGATTGTGCTTACCCTAGAAAGGAGACAGCTGTTGGGGGTGTGAGGGGAGATTGGTGCTGCTCCCTTATCAACCTCCCACAGCCTGTAGGCATTGTGGGGTGCCTACTCAGGAATCCCCGCACCCCACATTACTATAGAAACGAGCTGTCGCTGGAGAGGTCACCCCTCTGTTTTTAGACAGGCCTGGAAGTCACTGAGTTGAGAAAGTAAACGGGTTTAGGTTGGAAGCGGGAAGCCAGCCAGCGCATTTATTTTGGTTCTCTTCTTTAGCAGCCATAGAAATGTCTACAGATAGCATCTGATCTCTGAAAAACCATGTGGCCCAGGCACCCTTTCCATGGCCAGAGCCATGGAGACTCTTTTGACTCTCCAGCCAGAGCCAAACGGAATGGAGGGCAGGGTGTGCCAGTTTATTAAGCAGTTATGTGCTGAGCATCGACTTGAAAGGGATGCCTCTAACTTGAGAATATATTCCTGTTGGTTGAGAAAAAAAAGGAAGATTAATTTCTGCGAGGGCTGTGGCCATCTGTGCTTGGTATTCTTCCCTGACATCCTGTGGGATTGCCCTTAAATACACGTCTTTCCTCCGGATTTCCTATTACGTTTCCTAATTCCCGTTAATCCAGAATGATGCTTTATTATGGAGCCTCGAGGAATTCAAAGTTCTACCTCTTTCCTTCCCTGGTTTCAGTTTCCTCTCTTGCCACTGCACATCCTCTGCAGTGCAGGCTGCTGGCCCCATCATCGCCTCCCCTCCTGGTTCCCAGACACTGCTTTGTTAGGCTCACTACTGCATGTCAACGGATGGTGTCTGGTGACATCCATAAATCTCACCTAAACTGATGGCCACCCTTTCCAATAAACTAGGGGAGAGAGGTTTCTGAGATATAATAACAGGGCGTTTCCACAGGGCATATAAGCAGCCAGGGAGAACATGAAGAAGGTGAGCCTAATGCCATGCCACATATCATCTAAAAATGTATTTGAGTTGTCAGCATTGGAGCCATAAGGTTGCTTGTTGTGTTCCTGCCCTGCCCTGAGCATCAACTCGGCGTTCCCCTTGGGACCCTGGGATAACTGAAGTGGGTCAGGCCTTGACTATATTTATTATATAGAGCAAAAGGAAAGTGTGGAATTGAAAGACTCAATCAGGGTTTTGACCTGTCAGGTCTGAAGAGAAGGATCTGCTACTCAGGAGGAACGGAAGTCTGCTCTTTTGGATGTCCTGAGTTATTTGGGTTGCCTGCACACATACCACATGATGAATTTTTACACACTTTTGTCTCATTTTCCTAGTAGGTGAAAATGGCTTTTGAAATGTATGATTGGGTGTTCCTGCCCCTGCACCTCATGCAATGCGCTTTGGGGATGAAGTTCTTGGTGGCCAGACACAGGATGTCCCCTTATAAGGTGTTTATCACTTATTATGACATTGGTCGCCAGTCCACCCTGCCTGTGTAGATGCAGCTTATGAGTGCAGAAGGGAGACACTGGCATAATGTTTTATACCTAGACTGTCGCTTGCAAGCACTAAAACACACCACAAGGCATAGCAAAGGAAGTTAGTTAACAAGGCTTTCTAATGAACATTTCAATCATGTATGCCCACCCCAAACAATCTTCATGCTCTGGATGGATTTTTACCTGGGCATCAAATTTTCCAGCGTTGTGCAGAAAAGTCATGCAAATTCCATGTAAGCCCCGAATCTCACAAGAGTTGTTCTCGAAACATTCAAACATGCCACACCCCACATCGCCAGCTTTGACCAAACAGTGCTGGATCTGCGCTAAAAGGAAAATCACATACAGATAATGTACAAAACTCTGACCCATGCTGGACAATGCAGAGAGGTCATTTGAAATAAAAATTAGCAACAACTAAAGGAAAATTTAAGGAGGAAAAAAGAGTTAGTAATGACGATATCAGGACCTGGGAAACAAAATTTCATCCTTTAACTGCTCATGAAAAATGTCTCTGTTTGTAAATATTTGTAGGAAGGAGCAAAAAAATTACAAAAATTATAACCAGAAAGGTTGGTCTGAGCATTCCTCCCTTTCATCCTTTCCATTTTATTAAAGTATATGTGGGAATACTTAGTTTGAGAGCAAAATATATTTCAGCTTTTTAAACCCACAGACAAAAATAAAAATTTAAATTGAAGACTGAAGTCTTCATCAATGAAGTACCCTTCTCTACTTGATCTGCAGAAGTTGCTGCTATTAAATCACAGCCATTTCCTTCCTGACACCCAAGTGACAGCGTCCAAAAAGCAGTTTCTATTCAGCTTTATGATTCAACACCTAAAAATCAAAACAAAATTCCTATTAAGGCAGTGCCTCCCAACCCTTCGCATTAAAATACCAGCTAGGGAAGCTGCGGTTGGCAAGCAGGCTCAGGAGTGGAGTTAGATGGGGTCTAGCCTTTAGAAACACCACTATCCACGGTTGCACCCTCCTTTTAATTAGGCATGGGGATGAGATATCACCCAATCCCCTAGAATTCCCACAGCCTGGGAGCTGGCAGCTCTTCTTCACCAAATGTGGCCCCCATTCCTCTCTCCGAAAGGACAGACGGAGGGAGTTAACTGTCAGGCTGCAGCGTGCAAAGCCTCTTTCCTCCCTCCCCACTACCCAAGTCTCTGATTTAAATCAACCACAAAATTACATCAGAAAAGTGTTTTTTGGAAGAAGGGCGGGGTCGGAGCTGATAATCCGCATTCAGATTAAATCTAGGGAGAGAATGAGGAGCGTGTATTTTTGAGGGTCACCAACCACCGATAATCACGTTCAGTTCTCAGAGGAAGCGCCAGAGGAGCGAGAGGGTGGGCGAGGGTCTCCGGGTGGTGGGGGTGCCGGCCCCAGCATGTGGAGGTGACAGGCTCTGGAAGACCCTTCGCGACGCCGGGGCAGGACCGCTCAGTGCCGCGATTCACTCACTTGGGGCGTCCCTAATGGGCACTAGTGCTTTCCTGCTCGTGCTGTGAGCGGACGCACGCCGCAGCCGCGGCGATCGCACGGCTCCCCAAAGTCGGGGGAGGGGGTCGTGGAGCGAAGGAGCTGTTGGCAGATTTTCTTTCTCTTTCCGAGCTGGGAAACGGGCCAGCCCCGTGCCCTGCACGCCTGGCTCTGCTTTGCAGCTTGTGGGTGAGCCAAGAGCCGGTCGAGCAGAGGAGGCGCACAGTTCGGGTCGTTTCACCATTTCTTGGCTCGCTGACCCGGCTAGGAGCTGGGGATGGCGGCAGCACAGTGGAGGTACGGTTTGCGCCACTCCCACGCTCCGTTCCGAAAGCAGTGCCCCCGCGGGGAAAGTTCGCAATGCCAGCTGTCTCGCCCGCAAAGTTTGGGATGTCGGGCAGTTTTTGAGGAGTGGGAAGACCCGGCGCTCTTACTGAGGCCGGCTGGCTGGGAAGAGAAGTTTTCCGGGTGCAGGGCGCAGCCCAGCTCCGTGGACCCTCTGTGCCTCCCGCATGCCGGCCGGGATGAAGCAAGCTTTGCACCGGACCCGGGACTCGGGGGCGGGGGCTGGCGCTGGCAGCGTCAGACGCTGCCTCATTTCCCCTCGACCCTGGGGAGGACAGCAACAAGTCCTGCCCCAGCCATTTCATCACCCTGCTAGCACGTGCAGATTCCGGGCGCTCGGAACCCGGCGCGGACCTCGCCTTGCCTCGCGCTTCCCTTCGCACTTCCCGTGCCATCCCAAGAGTTTGCGTGGTCCTGGGTGGGTGCCTGGCTCCCGGCTAAACGCCTGGGGGGCGCCGCGTGGGTGCACGGTGTGCTGTCCCAGCAGCTCCCGGCTGCGGGGGCGGGTGCACTTACCTGTATTCTGCAGGGACAGGCGGCCCTTCTGCTGAGAGCTTCTGTCTTGGGGACCTTGGAGTGGGTTGGTGGCGTCGGTCCCTCGCGCCGGGTCAAAGGTGGCCAACACAAAGACCAGGGTCACGAACTGGCCCAGCCGCTCGGCACACATAATTCTTGGTATTAACCTCCCACAGGGAGACCTGGATCCTTTGTGCTCCCCTCTTCCTCTTCCTCCTTCCCCGCTACCCCTCCTTCTCCCCCTCTTCCTCTTTGCTAGCCTTTTCCCTCCTCCTCGCGGCTGCAGCTCGGATAGAGGTTACCCAGCGCCCTCCAGTAGCACTCGGGAGAGCATGTGACCAGGCCGTTAGCAGCGCCGCGAATGCCCGGCAATGGCAGGGATGGTGCCTCAAATATCCCTGGAAGCTCTGGTGTCACTTGAATGAAGGAGTCGAGCAGGTGTTGTCCCGGCGGCTGGACCAATCCGAGACCCCGGCCCTTTTGACAACACGGCCGGGAGGCGGGGCCTGCGCCCAACTACTACAGGAGGAAGCCGAGCTCCGCCGGGAGCGCCAGACAAAGTTGCCGACCTGGCGGCGGTCACGCTTTTGGGTGTGTGTGTGTGTGTGTGTGTGTGTGTATGAGCGAGCGCGGCCGGAGATGCATGCGCGTGTGCAGGAGCGCCAGGGCAATGGCCGAACGGGCTGTAGAATATAAAAGCGAATCCCAGCTCCAGCTGCAGCTAAAGGGGGACGATCTGCGCTGGGACAGTGTCCCTGGGGCCCCTGGCTCGCGTGACACCCGCATCGGGTTGGGAAAGTTTCCTTTCTCCGCCGTTTGAAATTCAGTGAGATTCCCAGCCCAGAGGACTTGATAGATTGAAGCAATTTCCTCGGTACAGTGATGCTGTGGGCCAAATGAGCACACGTGGAAATTCCTGGCCTTGTGACAATTTGCATTAAAAAGAACCCCACTATTGGAGACAGGAGCAGAAGCACTAGATACAGTCTTTGGTCAGAGCAACTGCCCCGTCTTCCCGCTTGGGAAGACAATGCAACACCTGGAGTGTGGTTTCTCGTCCTTCCCCTAATCCCGACCCTATTCCAGCCTGGGCTACACGGATCCAGGTGACGGTCGGGACTTGCATCATTTCCAGGAGGGTGACAGGGAGGCCCAAGGCAGCCCTGAGTCAGCCCGCCGCGGACCTTCGCTTGCCCGGGAGGCCAGAGCTTGAAAGGCAACTTTACGCGTCTCCAAACACACTCCTGCATTTTCTCAAACCGCTGCCGGCTACCCAGCTCCGGGTTCCCTTTTACTCTCCAGTCATCGGACGGAAGTGGTGAGAACAAAAACAAAGACAAAAAAGCTAAATCCAGGGAAATTACCACCATCTCCTCCCTTTTATTGTTCGACCCCGTCTCCAAGACCGCCGGCTCGGGATAGCCCCGGCTACTTTCTCCCCCGGCCCGCGGAAGGAAGGAGAAAGTTGGGCGCAGCGTGCAGCGCCTCTTCCCCTGCTGTGTGTGTACGTGTGCACGCTCACGTCTCCCCCGGGCCGGGGCCGGGGACAGAAACTACTCTCAGCCGGGTCACTCCAACAGCGCAGCTCCGGGGGCTCTCAGGGCTAGGGGAGGGCAGGGACGAGAGCGCCGCGACGGAGCGCCCCGGGGCACACACCCGGCGTTAGTGCGCGTCCCCACCCTCCTCCAGGAGAGCTGGTGAGCCCGGGTACCAGCTCTCGATCCCCCACCCCCGCCCCGCGCCCCGCCCGCGCCCTCTGCGGTAATGCGCCTGGGAAGTTTCATCACCCACTGCCCAGGCGACGCGGCCTCGGGTCTCCGCGGCGGGAGCACTGCCAGCCTGGTTGGGGCCGCCAGGTGACACGGCTAGGGGAGGGGGTGCGGAGACCCGCCGCGGGCAGGTTATCTTTTGGCTGCCGCTTGACTTCCAAAGCTTCCCTTCCCTGGGTCCCGGCAGAGGCGGGGGACCAGGATGACCGCCGCTGGCCGCAGCTGTCCGACGTGTGGAGCTGAGTCGGAAGGGAGTGGAGGCGGTGCCAAGGGCGCCTTCAGAGTGGGCTTCCTCTGGGCTGGAGCACCAGGGAGCATCCATAAATGGTTACTTTGAAGGTCCGAACCTGCCGCGGTGGGGAAAAACTAACCACTCGTATCCACTATTCTAATAGCAATTACTCCTCGCAGCCACGGATCCTTTGTGGAAGGACGGGCAGGTACAAATGCATTAAAATGGGCAGTTCACATTGCCCACCATGCTTTTGTTTGCATAGTTAACTTAGCTTCCTTTATTAGTTTATGGGAAAACACTTTTTATAGATCATTATAAACAAAGCAAACAAACAAAACAGTGGCATTCTGGCCTCTCCTAGTTCTTTAAGGCTCTGAATTTCCTGAAGCCAAGTGGTCATTTGGTCCCGCTCCTGCTTATGGATATAGTTGCCTAGACTTTCTTTCTATATGGCCTCTTTCATAGGTGAGAATGTGATTGAAACAGTTACCTGGGCACAGTGATGAGCAATATTAACATTAAAAGGGCATAGGGTCACCTAATTTTTTGAGAAACAGAAATAGTAGAGAGCTCCAGGGGGCAGGGGCAAGCCTTCCTTTGCCAGATGCAGACACTGAGTGTACTGGGCAGAGGCCTCCAAGGATACCTGGAGAGATGGCCAAGCAGATGGAGTTCTCCTGGCTCTTGTTCTGCCCAGCCTTTGGCTAGGTGCTACCTTTTGCTACCATAGGGCCCCTGGGGCTGCCCTCAGAGGACCTACATAGTTCCAAAGTTCGTCCTGAGGCTGTTTGCTCCCACAAACAAGGGACATTCCTGATTTCCACCTCAGTCAACTGCCCCTTTAGAACTAAAAGAACGCATAGTAGCTAGAATTCAAGATGTTGTAAACACAGGCACTAATTCCTAAAGGTCTGTCTCTGGGCCACTTAGCCAAGTCCAAAGCACCCAGATAAGAATGCCCATCGCAGTGGGACCCACCAGGGCTATGTAAATTGCCCTGCAGAATCACTAGGCAGTTTGCTGGGACTGCCAGTCTAGGCCACAGGGGTAGAAGTGGGGATGGGGGCTCAGCCTGGTGACTTTGTTGTGATTGATTCCCCCTCTCTCTGGCTGATTCCTTTAGCTCTGTAACTAGGGCCAAGTTTGGCAGACTGTGGCTGATGAGGGTGGGGCAGGGGACGGTGATAATTATCATTATTACTATTATAAAGCTAACATGACTTGAGAACAGACACCGTGCCACAGACCACCTCATGCCTTTGGTGTCCCTCCAGACCTAGGGCCTGCCCTAGATGGGAACCGAGACCTGGGAGGTCTCTTGGATGGACCAGCTGTTGCTGCTCTGTGACTCAGCATTGCCTATCTAGATGGACCCTCCTCCTCAGTTTAATGCACACCCAGTCGTGGAGAGGCAGACATGACCTACCTTGTGTCATCCAGGGTCTTCTGTGGTTGATGCCTGGAGCCCATGTTTTCCTGTCTAAATCCACTTTGCTAGTTACATGTGGTCAATACTGAGTGGCAGGTTTTGGGGAGGGGGTATTTGGGTTAGACCATGAAGGATAGGGGAGGATAGTGACAAGTAGAGGCAAGGAAAAGAGTGGGCATGGCAGGTGGGAGGACCAGCAGGAGTAGATGCATGGAGAGGATCCGGTGGGATTTGTATCAGGAATAGGGGTTGCCCAGTTAGGTGCCAAAGTGGGACATCAAACTAGGGAAGTCGGCCAGGGCATGTTGTCAAGGCTGGGCCCCTTGTGACAAATCTGTGCTCCTTGTGGAACATCTGACGGTATTTAAGGATGAGACAGTAGGGCACTTTAGACCTGGTTCTCTTTAGGAATTAGGAAATGCTCAGGGGCCCAGAGCTGCCACTGTGGAGAAAGAGGAGAGGAGTGGGAAGGAATTAGTTGGAATCTTCACGGGCGTCTGGATGCCTACCAAGACAGACATGTTCTTGCTCAGGTGTGAGCCGAAGGGGCTTTAGCGGATGGGCACAGTTCATGGGTGCTAAGTCAGTGATGTGCAGGTTGAGACATGCTGCCTGGTCCAGGCTTTCTGAGTTCCGGAACCTGAGTGGAGAACATGGCTTACACGTGGGGAGCTCCGCCCACTGCACGCCCCGCCCCCTTGGGGCTGGCTGTCTGGGCTGATGGCACCACCTTATGGTCAGACAGAGGGAACTGTCTGACCACACGGTCCTCAGGACTCTGCCTACCTGGAAGGCCTGTGGCTCTAATACTGGGTCTCTAGCCTTCTCCCCAATTTCCTTACCTCTTCTTAGCCAATCAATTAATGCAGATTTAGCCAATTTCCTTGCAACAACATGCTTTAATCCCCTCATCAGAGAGATCTCTTTTAAACTTATTTTCCCTCTTGCTCCCCTATCCTTTGCTGGTTTTCCTTTGTGAGTCTCAAATCTACCCTAATCTTGGCTCCTGTGCATCATACCTGTATGAAGGAAAATGAAAAAAGGTATCAAGGTGAAATCGGACAGAAAAACATATCAAACTGCTGCCATCGGGCCTCCCAAATTATCTTGCAAGCAGAGTCTCGCCCTAAAAAGCCTCCGTCTCCCAGCACTTTGGAAGGCTGAGGTGGGCAGATTGCTTGAGCCCAGGAGTTCGAGACCAACCTGGGCAACATGGCGAAACCCTGTTTCTAAAAAAATACAAACATTAGCCGGACATGGTGGTATGTGCCTGCAATCCCAGCTACTTGGGAGATTAAGGTAGGAGAATGGCTTGAGCCCAGGAGGTCGAGGCTGCAGTGAACTGTGATTGCACCACTGCACTCCAGCCTGGGTGACAGAGCAAGACCCTGTCTCAAAAAAAAAAAAAAAAAAAAGCCTCTATCTTTTTTCATTAAACTGGTTATTTCATTAAATATGATTCAGAATAAAGGAGATTATATCTTTAATATTTGGGTTTGTTTTATTAATACTATTACCAAATTACATTCTGCTCATTTATACCAGACAAGTGCAGAGCCCAACAACACTATGAGTTAAGAAGGATTTTGTGGGGCTGGCCTGTAAACCTATCACGCATAATATTTTTTCTTGAAGAAAATATATTCTGAGTCCCCAAAACAACCAATTTTGGAGTGTTGGAGCACAACGCTTTTGTGAATTGGGCATTTCCTCTCTGTTACAGATCAATAGTCAAACCATTCATGGATTGACTGAAAATATAAAAGATAAACAGGATTAAGAAAAGAAAACCCAAGAAAGTGGGAACACTGTATCCCTCACACTAAAACCATTTGCTGGAAGGAATATAAAGGAATAAACACTGGACATCTGATTGTGGTCTGAGCTTTGTTAGCGCCTTGCTCTGGAGCCTGAATGGTATCCCAGAAGGCCTCTCTGTTTTACGTAGGTCATAATTTCTGCTTCTTGGTTGTATCTTGAGAGGAACTCCAGGAGAACACATTTCAGGCAGGGGGCTGCCTGGCTTCCATGCAGAGTGCTGTTTGGGCCCCGAGGCAGGCATCGTGGTGCTGGAATATTATGATAGAGCTCTCCCTGGGTGGGTTTTAACTTTGTTCTGAGAATGGTTAGACCTCAAGTGGATGAAGGAAGAGTCTTTTTGTGGGGCAGTTTTCTAGGGAGCCAGATTTTGAAAGCTTCAGGAAATGACCAAATCTGTGAATGCGATTTAACCTTCAGCATGTTATCAGGGTCCATTGGACCCAATTTTAGAGTTTGAAAGTTATTATTATTTTTTTCCTGAGAAGTTCTAACTTTCTTTTTTTTTTTTTGAGATGGAGTTTCACTCTTGTTACCCAGGCTGGTGTGCAGTGGCGCGATCTCGGCTCACCACAACCTCTGTCTCCTGGGTTCAAGCAATTCTCCTACCTCAGCCTCCTGAGTAGCTGGAACTACAGGCATGCGCCACCATGTCCAGCTAATTTTTGTATTTTTAGTAGAGACGGGGTTTCACCATGTTGATCAGGATGGTCTCGATCTCTTGACCTCATGATCCACCCGTCTCGGCCTCTCACAGTGCTGGAATTATAGGCATGAGCCACCGCGCCTGGCCAAAGTTCTAACATTTTGTAAGGATTAGTATTTCATAACTTTTGTTTGTTTTTAGAAGTCTTCTGAGATGAAAGATAACATCTAGTTTTTAACAAAAATAGAATAAAACTCCTTCTAAAAGTTACCATATGACTATTGAAATAATTTATACATTTATGATATATCATAAGATCTTAGCGATCTTCATTTTCTTATATCTTTAAACATCTCTCATTTTATCACCCTAGAAATTATTTCATCATTACTCACCAATTATTGCCAATTATCGTTAAAAAAACTAACAAGAAAATGGGGGAATGATGGAATCACCTAGAAGGATGATGCAACAATGAAACAAATGATCACTATTGCATCATCCTTCCTTTTTTTTAAATCACATTGCCCAAAGTATTACATCATCTCTCGAGAAAGTATAAAAGAA